AAACAGAAGTTCGCATCAACACGTTAACAAATTTGCAAACCTGTCTGTTGTCCTTGCGATGATATACTGCTCTGTTTCATACTTTAAAACGGAGGGGATTGGGTTTTGATTTTTAATATTGTTGGAATATTCTCCCCTTCATTTCGAAAGCCCGAGTGCCACACTAAATGCAATTTCTAGTCCAAAACCGATAGCTGCGTAATAAAAGCGCAAAATTGCATGAATACTGTGTGTGCCAAGTGCACGTGCACGGCGTCTGTCCATGTGCGGATAAGGCCCCAGGGGCCGCATGCATGGTCACATCCCATATCCCGCAGTTTCCATTCCATTCACCGAGCCCAACTCAACTTGACTCGACTCGACTCGGATTGCATTTTATTGAGAACAGGTAACGGGGGCGACTTTCATTTAGGCCTAGTCCAGTTCAATTCAGTTCATGCATGTACACTGGGAGAAAGAATATGAAAGTGAACCTTAAAATAATACAAATTAAAATTCATACTTTGACTTAAAACTTTTAAGTTAAAAGGAACTTGAACCCTCACATTCAAGAGTTTACAAACCAAAATCGAATAAGTAAAAGTATAAACATTTCTACCATATTTTCCAAGACTTAAAGTAAAAACTTTTCCCCAAAGAACAGTGTATAACCTGGTAATGGGAGAAACTACCAGAGCAGTAAATGAACGCAGGTGGTTCTGATGGAAATTGGCAACGAAGTCTTATCGGCCGGCTGGCCAGTTGTCAACTCGTGCCAGATCTGTGGCCTTTAATTGCCCCAAAGAGAGTAAAAAATCGAGGGGAAAACAGAGGAAAACACCTCCCCCTTTGAGTTTTCTAACCCAACATTCCCTTGACGGGGGGCCCGCCCAATCGTGTTTACTTAGGCACGAAAACATTTCATAATTTCCAATCAATTGCACCCGTTTTAATTACGCGTAAAATATTTTAAATTCTCAAAGCTCAAAGAGCTCGCCGCGCAATCAAAGCGAATCATTTTCGCTGCCTTCGTTTTGTTTGTTAAGAATTTCGTAATTTTCTTCTTTTGAGGCTCGTGTATTTAAACGGGGAAAAATGTGATGCGGATGGGTCTGTGCTGGAATTATTGTACGCCACATTAATCATGCAAATGAAATGAAACAAGCAGTGAAGTTTCGTCTAGGGATGTACTTTATATTGAGGAAAAATGCTATAAGATTGAAAATAAATATTGAAATATAAAGAAAAAGTTGATAAATTAACAATAAAATTAATTGAATTATAAAATAAAACGATTAATAAAAATTAATTTAAATTTAAAGAGATTTTAAAGGGTTTCAAAATCAAAAAAATACAAATTCTAAATTGCAGTAAAAAATTTATAGGTTCTATGCATATTACTATTAAATGATTATCAATTACAGTAGCTTAATAATTTTAATTGTATATTTTTTATGATCATATTTTTAAGAAGATTCCCAGTTTTTAATATAAAATTGTAAGCTGGGAATCTCTTAACAAATTTTTGCAAATTAAGACTCGAATTTACTCTCCAATTTACTGGTCAAACATCCAGTCAAAAAATACAAATATTTAATAAAAATGTAACCCCTCAACATCGTCATATCAACGTTGACCATCCCTAGGCCTGGCCCACACACCCATCGCTGCCAATTAAGAGAAATTCCCCAAGATGCATATGCCCCTGTTATACGGTATATATTTTATTGAAACGAGTAACGCGTATCTCTTTCGTTCCGTGTGGCAAACTTGATCAGCATCAAAGGCTATTCGGGCTTTTGTATTTTTAGCCGACCAAGTGCCTAATGTGGGCTATAAATAAAGCCGTGTGGGTGGGCTTGATGTCGAGGATGCGTGTATCTTGCAGATATGCCGGAACTCTTGCATATTTAATGAGCCTGACACGGCGGAAAATTGAGGAAAACAAATGAGCTGAGCCTTCAACACCGCCATTCGTATACTCTTTGCCAGAAAAGAGAAATTTCCTTACTGCTTAAGGGGGGATATACATGTAAACCAAATTTTATTTTGGCTAATTTTTTTTTTGTTTAAAAAATAGTTTATTACTTAAAGAATATACTCTGTAAGTTTCATCATCGAATTCCAACTTTAAGTGCCTCAAATTAAGTATGCAAGCAAAGTATACAAGTGTTAACGTGGGCGCATCAAAAACTTTAAACGTCTTTTTCTCAGCTTTAAATTTGTGCATTTTTACCTATGCTATGGACACGATTCACAAAAAACTACGTAACATATCAGAGTGAATCAAATTTTATTATGATCAGCATGAAATTATCTTCTATTTGAACCTACATGGTTGTTATAAAACTGAGTATTACTATTTTTTAAGAGGGTGGGAAGTGAAAACTGATCACCTGAAAATGACATTTTTTCCTTCAAATCAAAATTTAATTTTTTTGTCTTGATTTCTTTTTGATTTTTTAGGTTCAAATAGAAGATATAGATGTAGTAAATACAAAAAAATTTAGTTTACGGATTTTGGACAGGAATTACGAGCTCTATCGTGTCCATAGCACGGCAACTTAAAGCTCGAGGCGCTACGGCATATGTTCCATAAATCCGCCATTTTGTAAAATATTGTTTATAACTAATTTTTTTTATCATTTCTGATTCTACTTTTACCTATATCCAAAGTTTCACGACGATTGCTTGACTATTTCTTATAAAAAAAATTTTACGAAAAATGGCCACATTTTTGACCGCTTACATGTATATCCCCCCTTAAGGATGGACTTTAAGTTTTTCATTGGATTTTTTCCAGAAAAATCTATACCATTTCTTATTTTGGGGCACTGCTAAAGTTGCCAAACTTTGCCTCCGCTGGGTATCTGCATGCAAACACACAAATGCTAATGACAAGTTTGCCAAAAAAGGACATGTCCATGTGTATGGAAAGCCAGCCCCAACATATGTATGTGAGGGTGCTAGGATATATACAGATATATATATTTAGGCGGAAACCCGTTGAGTCAAGGTCGCTTCCTTTGCGGGCGACTGCATAACGAGTTCAAAAAACTTTTCCCCATTCCAGCGAACTTGAGTCGGAGGGGGGTCCAAACTATCCTAAGCTGTTCATTCGCACTCTCCGGCCCAAAAACACGGATCGCTGCCTGCTTTTGGGCGCTGGTCCCGTAATCAGGAGAGCTTTGTAACAAGCTTATCGGCCGGCGGCCAGGACAGGCGAGAAACAAAATGGGCCAAGTCGTCTCAAGTTTCCCTCTGCCCACGAGTTATTCAATTATGTCGCGTAGATTGCAAGTGAAAATCAGTTTACCAATGGGAAAAGAATTCTTGGCACGCACTGAAAAAAAAACGTAGAATATCAAGAAATTGTTTTGGAAAATTATGAGCCTATGGTTTTATGATTCCTTAGGTCCCTTTATTATCAAAATAGCTTCCAGAAGTAACACTTAAAGCCTTTTCCTCTTGGTTTTAATTCTAAATCATTCTTTTTTAATTAGGTGTATTAATAAATTGTTGCTTGAGTCAAATCTTATATTATATATATATTATATAATTATCCCAGTATTTAAATAAAAATTATGTTTAAAGTTGCATTTAATTCTTTAAGCCATTGCCAAGGTCTTTTAGGTTGCTTCATGGCTGGCTGCTTGTTGAGAGGCTCACTTAAGGCACCCTTGAAACTCGAATCGTGTCCAAAATCTGGCTGGCCAACCAACTAAAAATCGCTTAAAACTTTTTCCCCATCTATTTGTGGAGCCCTCAAAAAAAAAAGGAAATGATAAAAAAAAAAACAAGAAACCGAAAATACATCTCGGCTAAAAGCTTTACATTTGCAGACAGAAATCAAGGTAGGATTCAGGGGCATTAGCAATCTGCCATGCCCCCCCACCACCCATGGAGCGAAAAAACGCGAAACAATTTTTGGCTGAATGAAAATGTTTGCTTCAAAGTTGATCCTTCCTTTCCCGCTTCCTGGAGAGCTCCCGCGCTGCTGGAGAGTTCAGTTTATGAGCGGGTTATTTTGATTAATGTTCTTTCAACTGCCGTCGGGCATGGGCGTGGCAAAAGCGAGGAAGGGGCCAAAGTTGGCAAGAGCTTAGCGGATATGGAAGTGTCAAGTGAAAGAGGAAAAAGCAGAGCAACAATTATTCGATGATTATGGGACAGGGGCCGAGTGGGAAAGATGAGTGGAGTATTGACGCAGGAAGGCAAGTGAAAGGACTCGCGGTTCATTGTCCAAGTTATCCTCGAAGCCATCTCCCTCGCCGGGAAAAGAATTTACTTAGGGCCATCTGTTCCGACCCGTTTTGGCTTGACATTTTTAATTACTTTTAAATATTTTATCCCACGCAGAGATAATGCGACAAGATTTGTCATTTAAATTGTTAATGACCTTCTGACCGTGCTTTCTTGGCCCAGCCTACTTGACCTTTTTTCTTGTATTTTCTCGGGCTGCCATTGAGTCTGTCTTCTTCCCATCGTTCGAATGTCCTTTGTGCATGCTTATTGACAAGTTGTAAATAATTTGGATTTGACATGATCCTGATTGCCTTGTGCTCCACTCACCACCCTAACAATTTTCCGGGGGCTGATGGCAAAAGTTTTGCCCATCGATGACACGGGACGACGACAACTTCCGACAGAATTCGACACACGGGCCGCTATAAACCCCTTTCGTCACCATGGAGCCAAAAACTTGACCTACCTACTTGGAGACTAAGAAAAAATAATAAAATATATTCAAAATAACTTAAATGCTTAGACAAATTATTCAAAAAAATTAAAATGTATCTTTAAAACGTAAAGCACCTTTGAGTTGTGACAATCCTTGCCTTTCTGTTGAGATTTAATTTTCTTCATGTGATTTCGTTTATCCTGTCCTCGTCATTACACGCTCCTCCACGTCGGCACCCACATTTATGCATAATGAGCACAGTACCCGAGGATATTCCCTCCTCCATTTGGGGTTTTTGAAGCCACATTAATCCTGTTTTCCACGCCATTTGTCTCCGCAGACGGAAGCCAGAGAAGCAGCACACTCCGACCGCCTGCCAACCGAGACGAGACGCATGTGAGCGCAACCGAAACCCGAAGGAGCAAGTGACGATGCCAAGATGCCATCGGCAGATCAGATCCTGTTCATAAATGTCACCACAACGGTGGCGGCGGCGGCTTTAACCGCTGCTGCCGCCGTCGGCAATACCAAGTCCGGAGGCGGTGATGTCGTCACGGATGCGGCAGGCATCGAGACGGATACGGTGGCCAACATATCCGGCTCCCTGGTGGAGAGCCTCACCACCGTGGCGGCGGCTCTAAGTACGGCTCAAGCGGACTCTGACCTCGATGATGCCGGAGAGTGCGGCGGGGAAGTAGAGGAGCTGCACAGCAGTGTGCTGGGGCTGCAGCTGGCGGTGCCGGAATGGGAGGCACTGCTAACCGCCTTGGTGCTGTCCGTTATCATCGTCCTGACCATTATTGGTAACATCCTGGTGATCCTGAGCGTGTTCACCTACAAGCCGCTGCGCATCGTCCAGAACTTCTTCATCGTGTCACTGGCGGTTGCCGATCTCACGGTGGCCTTGCTGGTGTTGCCCTTCAATGTGGCCTACTCTATCCTGGGGCGGTGGGAGTTCGGCATCCACCTGTGCAAGCTGTGGCTCACCTGCGACGTGCTCTGCTGCACCAGCTCCATCCTCAACCTGTGCGCCATCGCCTTGGATCGCTACTGGGCGATCACGGACCCGATCAACTACGCCCAAAAGCGAACCGTCGGTCGCGTCCTGCTGCTCATCTCCGGCGTCTGGCTGCTCTCGCTCCTGATCAGCAGTCCTCCGCTGATCGGCTGGAACGACTGGCCAGACGAATTCACCAGTGCCACACCCTGTGAGCTGACCTCGCAGCGCGGCTATGTCATATACTCCTCGCTAGGATCCTTCTTCATCCCGCTGGCCATCATGACCATCGTCTATATCGAGATCTTCGTGGCAACGCGACGACGCCTGCGGGAGCGAGCCAAGGCCAACAAGCTCAACACGATCGCCCTGAAGTCCGCCGAGCTGGAGCCCATTACTAACTCCTCGCCGGCCGCCGCATCCGCATCCGCCTCGGGCTCCAAGTCGCGTCTTCTGGCTAGCTGGCTGTGCTGCGGCCGTGATCGCGCCCACTTCACCACGCCCATGATCCAGAACGACCAGGAGAGCATCAGCAGTGAGACACACCAGCCCCAGCAGCAGCATATGGATGGCTCAAAGGCGGGATCCCAGGGCAGTGGAGATCCGCAACAGCAGCATGTCGTTGTCCTGGTGAAAAAGTCGCGGCGCGCCAAGATTAAGGACTCGATCAAGCACGGCAAGGCCAGGGGCGGACGCAAGTCACAGTCCTCGTCTACCTGCGAACCCCATGGAGAGCAGCAGCTCCTTCCCGCCGGCGGAGGAGGTGGAGGTGGCTGTGGTGTCGGCGGCGGGCACTCGGGCGGAGGAAAGTCCGATGCCGAGATTAGCACAGAGAGCGGAAGCGATCCCAAGGGTTGCATACAGGTGAGTGGAATTAAAATTAATAAAAAAGTGTACCCAATTCACTATTTATCTTGTTGATTCCAGGTGTGTGTCACCCAAGCGGATGAGCAGACATCCCTCAAGCTAACCCCGCCGCAATCATCGACCGGCGCCGCTGCCGTATCCGCCACACCGCTGCAAAAGAAGGCGAGCGGCGTCAACCAGTTCATCGAGGAGAAGCAGAAAATTTCGCTGTCCAAGGAACGTAGGGCAGCCCGTACTCTGGGCATCATTATGGGCGTCTTTGTCATCTGCTGGCTGCCCTTCTTCCTCATGTACGTCATCCTGCCCTTCTGCCAGAGCTGCTGTCCCACGAACAAGTTCAAGAACTTCATCACATGGCTGGGCTACATCAACTCCGGCCTGAACCCAGTCATCTACACCATATTCAACCTGGACTACCGGCGGGCTTTTAAGCGACTCCTGGGCCTCAACTGAGATCCGTTTGGGGGATTGAGGATGGACAAGAGTTGGGGGAGGGAACGAAGAGGCGAGCGGGAGAGCGTTACTCAGAGCGTGTGCCAAACCTAAAGGGAGGATGATCAGCAGAGATCTCAGTCCAAAATTGGTCCCCAGTCCGATAAATATTCGCACGAAAACTACTGTCGAACTTCTAAAGCGAAGCTGCTCATACAGTGGCTTCTGGACACTGCGTGGTCAGCTCTGTTCTACAGCTTAAACTATTTTTACATTTTCCAAGACCCAAGGTTTGATGATATTTCTCCTTCTCTATATTTTATTATTATAATTTAATTTTACTTTAAGTAATATGTAATTAGTTTTGATTGCGGGAAAGATTACCATGAACCTTATAGGTTATACTTTTGAGCCTGTTTCCCAAACGAACTTGGAGAAATATATTGCGAATATCTACTGCCATTAACATGATTCGACTTACTTACTAGGTAAGGAAAGTTCAAGTTCAAGAAGTTCGATTCTATTTAGATTTTCGTAACGAAAATAACGTCTTTCAGGGGCATAACTGCTCCGCAAGGCATTGCAATGACCCCTAAGATAAATGTAAGCTGTTGAATACTCATACATAAAAGCGGTACAGGTGGAATAAGATTAGGGGAATAAATCTCACGTCGGCCACGTCCATAAAGGAAATCATCACAACTACATGCTAATCGAATACATAACCATACGTTCATTATAAACAAGCTAAGTGACATCCCAAACGAGAAAAGCATCAACTTGAATTTAATAAAATTAAATTAAATGTTTAGGCACAGGACTTGTGGCAAAACTTTCGTGTTTCACTCTATGCGTATGGTAAAAACCAAAGAAAAATGTTAGTTAAATGAAATCTGCGCTCAAAATATGTAAAAGTAAAGGAATTAAGCGAAATACAAAACTTCCAAGAAATGAAATATGTTTTCTAGGCATTACTTTAACGATTTGTATTAAATTGTAATTTAATTGTAGGTAAATGAAAAACTAAACTACTATACTTAATGTATACTTTCAAATACGCTTTAAACTATTTGTTAAATAATTTAACGATTAATTGTTTTTATGACAGAGCAACAATTGTGTTGAGTGGGCAGCTAAAAGCTTGCGCATCGAAAATTACCTAAGATAGATAAATGTTTAATTGCACATTGATTGCAGAATGCAACAAAGTTAGCAAACTGGAGTACTATAATTCGATGTATAAACCAACGTACATGCTATATCGTATATACCACAATTTATGACTTTTAACGACGATGTACGATAATTTCACTAATTAAACTTGTTTAACGAGCAAATGCAAGCTAAGCATAAACGAAACCAACAAAAGACAGATTCGAATAAAAGTTATGAAGGAAAATCGGTTCGCCACTGTGTTTGAATTTAAATTAAATTACAGGTTTTTGGTAATTCAACTTTACAGATTTGTTAAATAATTTGATTATAGATTCAATACCTCTATATGTTGTCAATGAAACCCAAAAAGGTTTTATCCCAAATCTTCTTTCCAAAGGCCAGGTTTTATGACCTGTCCCAAATCTGTATTTTAAATTTGCCGCGCACATAGAACTAGAAAGTCTGGCAGCACTGAATGAAAATCGGAACAGCGATAGTGGGCTTCCACTCGATGTATCGCCTTTTAAAAAATCATCGATACTATCGATAGTGACATCGCTGTTTTCGCATCCCTAGCGTACCGGAATGGAAAGAAAATAGTTATTGTTTTTTACTTTCGCCCAATTTTGCCCGTTTGTTCGCATTTCTCGTTTTCCGCGGCAAAGTTTGTTGGCTTCGTGGCCAAACCCGCTGCAACCATGTCCAACTGCATTGAAATACCCTTGCAGGACACCGATGAGGTGAGTTTTAAGCGAATTTCAAGGTTTCGCCATGCAAGTTTCATACGTTTCGGCTTCGCTTTCAGGTGATCGAGGTGGATCCAGATCAACTGCCAGACTGTCCTGAGGTCTTGAGCATCCTCAAGCAGGAGCGTGCTCCGTTGCACGTGTGGGTCAATGTGTCGGTAAGTGAATGGAGGAGCAAGAAATGCCGCCAGGTTGAGAGACATGTCTGTCGCTTTTGCAGCTTGCCTACTACAAGCAAAAGAAGACGGAGGACTTTGTCACGTTGCTGGAGGAGTCACGCAGCGATGACGCCACCAAGGACTATCGCGACTCGGACAAGGACCTCATGCGCGCCCTGGACATGCTGGCCGCCCATTATGTGCAGGAGGCGTATCGCGAAAAGTCCAAGGATAAGAAACGCGAGCTGTTCATGAAGGCCACCAACCTGTACACCAGCGCCGACAAGATCATCATGTACGACCAGAGCCATCTGCTGGGTAGGGCCTATTTCTGCCTGCTGGAGGGCGACAAAATGGACCAGGCGGATGCTCAGTTCAACTTTGTGCTCAACCAGTCGCCCTCGAACATCCCCTCGCTGCTGGGCAAGGCGTGCATAGCCTTCAATCGGAAGGACTACCGCGGAGCAATGGCATTTTACAAAAAGGCCCTGAGAACGAATCCCAATTGCCCGGCAAACGTGCGGATTGGCATGGCCCACTGTTTCCTCAAGATGGGTAATCCCGAGAAGGCCAAGCTAGCCTTTGAGCGGGCCCTCCAGCTGGATCAGCAGTGTGTCGGCGCGCTTATTGGCCTGGCCGTGCTGAAGCTCAATCAACTGGAGCCAGAGTCCAATAAGCTCGGCGTCCAGATGCTTTCCAAGGCCTACACCATCGACAATGCCAATCCCATGGTGCTCAATCATCTGGCAAATCACTTTTTCTTCAAGAAGGACTACCAAAAGGTTCACCATTTGGCGCTGCACGCCTTCCACAATACCGAGAACGAGGCGATGCGAGCGGAGAGCTGCTACCAGCTGGCCAGGAGCTTCCACGCTCAAAGCGACTATGATCAAGCCTTCCAGTACTACTACCAGTCCACCCAGATAGCGCCAGCCAACTTTGTGCTGCCGCACTACGGCCTGGGACAGATGTATATCTATCGCGGGGACACGGAGAACGTAAGTTAATTAATTAAAAACCGAGCTTTGACCTAATTCAATTACTCCATTTCAGGCTGCCCAGTGCTTTGAGAAGGTGCTGAAGATCCAGCCGGGCAACTACGAGACCATGAAGATCCTCGGCTCGCTGTACGCTCACTCCAATTCGCAGACCAAGCGCGACATGGCCAAGACTCATCTCAAAAAGGTCACTGAACAGTTTCCCGAGGACATTGAAGCCTGGATAGAGCTGGCCCAGATTCTGGAGCAGAACGATCTGCAGGCTTCGCTGAATGCCTACGGCACTGCCTCCAGCATTTTGCGAGACAAGGCCAAGTATGAGATACCCGCTGAGATTCAGAACAATGTGGCCTCGTTGCACTACCGCTTGGGTAATCTGAAAATGGCCAAGGACACGCTAGAGTCGGCCCTGCAGCATGCCACCTCGGAAATGGACAAGGATGTCAAGTACTATGAGTCCATTCAGGTCACCATGAAGTACAACCTGGCCCGACTCAACGAGGCCATGAGCAGCTACGATGTGGCCGACAAGCTGTACAAAGAGATCCTCAAGGAGCATCCCAACTACATCGACTGCTATCTCCGGCTGGGTTGCATGGCCAGGGACAAGGGTCTGATTTTTGTGGCCTCCGATTTCTTCAAGGACGCTCTGAATATCAACAACGACAATCCGGATGCCAGGTCTCTGCTGGGCAACCTCCATTTGGCCAAGATGCAGTTTGCCCTGGGCCAGAAGAACTTTGAGACGATCCTCAAGAACCCGGCCACGTCCACGGATGCCTATTCACTCATTGCTTTGGGTAACTTTTCGCTACAAACGCTGCACCAGCCCAGTAGGGACAAGGAGAAGGAGAGGAAGCACCAGGAGAAGGCCTTGGCCATTTTCAAGCAGGTAAAATAGATGTTAAATATATATTTTAGGGGATTCTATTCAAATTTCTTCTCCCCCCGCAGGTTCTTCGCAATGATCCACGTAACATATGGGCCACCAATGGCATTGGCGCTGTCCTGGCCCACAAGGGATGCGTGATCGAGGCCCGCGACATCTTCGCCCAGGTGCGCGAGGCAACCGCTGACTTCTGCGACGTGTGGCTGAACATTGCCCACGTTTACGTGGAGCAGAAGCAATACATCAGCGCCATCCAGATGTACGAGAATTGCATGAAGAAGTTCTACAAGCACAACAATGTCGAGGTGATGCAATACCTGGCCAGAGCCTATCTGCGAGCCAACAAGCTGGTGGAGGCCAAGGCGGTGCTACTGAAGGCACGCCGTGTGGCACCCCAGGACACCGTTTTGCTCTTCAACATAGCCGTTGTGCTGTCCCGCCTAGCCATGGCCATACTCAAGGATGAGAAGTCTACGCTGGAGGTTGTGCTGCAGGCGGTTCACGAATTGGAGCTGGCACAAAAGTAAGTTTGAATGTGAATCCCCAAAGTAGATAAGTTTAGGAAGGGATTATCATTTAATTAATACCACATTACTCTCGAGATTCCTAGTTTTACCGTGTTTCTTCTATGGTTTCAATTGGAAAGCCATATCTTCCGTAGATTTAGGTTAAGATAACTTTAAATAATCACTTTAAAGTACAGGAAATACTTGAATAATCAGTTTATGTTTATTTAATCTATCGTCTGACTGATTATGAATGGCTTAATCTGAATGAATCCTCAAGTTCTAGACTGGTTAAGATTGTCCACATTTTATATTGTATAAAACTAATTATATCCTTCCATTTGTATTCCCTAGATACTTCCAATACCTCTCCGTTCACGGCGACAAGAACCGCTTTAACATCGAGGTAGCCGGCATTGAGGCCAACACCTGCCAGGATCTCCTCTCGCAGGCCCAGTACCATGTGGGTCGTGCCCGGCGCATCGACGAGGAGGAACGCTCGCTGCGTCGCAAGCAGGAGGAGGAGCGCGAGGCTTTCAAACTCAAGGTGGCCGAGCAGCGCAAGCGACGCGAGGAGGAGGCCAAGACATCCAGGGATCAGTTGCTGGCCAAGCGGCAGGAGTATGTGGAAAAGACCAAGGCTATTCTCATCATACCCGACGCTCCGGAAAAGGAACGCAAAAAAGGGGGCGGACGAGGGCGCAAGGATGACTACATATCGGGCAGTGACAGCGGCAGCGAAAGGCCACGCGATGGCGAGCGTCCCTCCAAGAAGAAGAGCAAGGCGGGAGAGCGGAAAAAGGGCAGCGGCGGCGGACGCAAGCGTAAAACGGAGAAGTACGAGAGCGACAGCGAGGAGGAGACGGCCCGGGGCAGCGGAAAGTCGGGCAAGAAGAAGGGCAAGAAGCAGCCCAAGGCGGTCAAGGAGTCCAAGGAAAAGTTGTCCGCCAAGCAGCGCCTTAAAATCGTGTCCAAGGAGACGATTTCGACCAGTGAATCGGAATCGGAGGGCAAGCGCAGCCGCAGCAGGAGTAGAAGTCGCAGTCGGAGTCGCAGTGGAAGCAGAAGTCGTAGCGGCTCTGGTAGTGGCAGTGATCGTGCCGCCAGTCGGAAACGCAGTAGAAGCAGAAGTGGATCCGCCTCAGCCAGCGACAGCGATGGGGCAGCCAAGCGCAAGCGAGCCAAGAACCGCATTGAATCTGAAGGGGAATCCGATGGATCTGGTTCCCGTCCCCGGTCCCGCTCCCGCTCCAAGTCGGGCTCCCGTCCGCGTTCCCGCTCCAAGTCGGGCTCCCGTCCGCGCTCTCGCTCCAAGTCAGGCTCCCGTTCCAAGTCGGGCTCCCGCTCCCGTTCCCGCTCCAAGTCTGGCTCTCGCTCCAGGTCGGGCTCTCGTTCCAGATCCCGCTCCAAATCCGGTTCCCGCTCCAGGTCCCGCTCTGGCAGCCGGTCCAAGTCCGGATCGCGTAGTCGCTCGGGATCACCGGAGAACTGAAGACCAACCAAACAACAACAACAAGCTGAGTAAAACACTTTTGACTATATTTAAAGTTTCCTTCAAGAGATGCAAAAAGATAATAAAAATATAAAACAAGTGCAGAGGATGAGGATTTGCTAAGGGATGCAGGGGTTTCTTGTCCAGAAATCATATATATTTTCAAGTCTAAAAATGTTCTCCTAAACGAATATAAATTTGGTTTTATAATCGGAATATAATCATGTGATTTCTGGACTAGATCGATTTTCGAGTCCATTTAATTAAAGGGAAAAAGAAGGACAGCGATTGAACCTAAGCCCAACCGGGCTACCCATTTGGCTAGGGCGTATTTCGATCTCATCCACGTCGATGCTGCTGGATCATGTCCCTCACGATGCCCGCCATGGCCTGTGAATGGCGCAGGACAAATGCATGGGCAATCTTCTGAGTGTCCAGCTGGGCGTCCACCTTGGGATAATCCTTTTTGAGCTGTTCGTAGTAGGAGACGGGCACCCAGCCATCGGTGGTGCCATAGTAGAACTTCAGCAAGTCCAGATTCTGTTCCACAATCTCCCGCTGTATGCCCCGGACGCGGGCCATCTCGTCGTCAGCGAGGAAGACCACCTTCTCCGCCACCGAGGGCTTCGAGTACTTCAGGGCAGTGCCCAGGAAATGCCGCGGAATGGAGAAGATCAGGAAGTATATCTGTATAAATAACAGGCGCAGCCAAACGGGCAGCGCCGCAAAGAGCGTGAAGAATAAGTAGCCAAAGACCGAGTACAGTGGCATGGCTATCTTGGTGAAGACCCAGCCGTTGGGCGACTCCATCATGCGCTCAACGGTGGGGAAGAGCATATAGCACTTCTGGACCCGGTTCCGTATCCGCTCGTTCTCCAGCAGTTGCAGAATCATCCAGGCGCCAATAGAGTGGCCAATTAAATGGATTTTCACATCACTCGGCACGTACTTCTCAATGAAGGCGATCTTGTGCCGGATTTGCCCGTCTAAGTTGAAGAGCTCCTCATTGCCGCTGAGCTGGGGCACCTCCCGAATGCTGGCCTCCGGTGGATCATCGTGGCCAGCATGTCCTGTGCAAAATGTGGAGAGCCAAGCTAGTAAGAGCCGCTTCACTAGAGCGCCTGCAAGCCCACTCACCTATCACCCAGACGGGAAGGTCACCCAACTCCCTCTGCAGTGTCCCCGCGAACTCTGTGTAGAAGCCGGGCAGACCGGGATTGCCCGTGATGCAGATTACCACCTCCTTCTCGGTCAAAGTCTCCTCGATCCACTTGCCCCACGTGAAGATGTGCGTGGGTATCGAGTTGATGTTGACGTATGCCTCCTGCATGTCGTCGGCGTGGCACAAACGCTGAAAATCAATCGAATCGAACCACCCGCCACCTGCTGCTGCTCCAGCTCTTTTCACACGCAATGCCTCTGCTACGTTCCCGTGGCAACCGGTTTTTCCTTTGTTCAACTTCACCACTGGCGCAGCCTTTGGCGATATTTGAATCCGTCGGATTGGCGCGGTATATCCAGTGTTTGATAGCTCTGATAAACACTAACCCCAGGCGGCTGAGTCTTTCGAGTTGCAGAAGGGCCAAAGGTCAGAGGTTCATAAAACCGGCCACTGGAAACGGCTGATACGGAAACCAGGGCTGCAATGCCCTCAAAAAACAGCTGTGGTTATTATTAAATGTTTATAAGTGAGTTAAAATTATTAATTACATTATAAATATTTTTATTAATTTTTTTTTAATATTAATTTTTATTTATATTTCTATAATTTTTTTTATTGTTTTTTTTGTATATTTTTATATCAGATTCTAACAAGTTTTATCGGGTTGTTTAATAATAATACTAATAAAAAGATTTTAATTAAAAAACTACGAAATATTATTTTGAATTTTATTTTAATATGTTTTCTTATGTATTTTATCATTTGATTTTATATTTAATTTTTTTTTATATCTCATCCGATTCATTGCCGTTGTAATTAAGTATAAAATATAATATATATTTAATATATATATTTTAATTTAAAAACTTTGAACTCTTTTTTTTTTTTTTAGTTTTTTCGTATTGTTTTCATATTATTAAATTTTATTTTTAATATATATTTCAATATATTATTATTTTTGATCTCTAATCCGAATCATTGCAGCCCTGATTAAAGCACAGTTCCAGAGTTGCCAACTTACGAAAAGCTCGGCTGGCGCTTTTACAATCGATTGGCAGCCCCACAATTATTTGTTGGTTTTTTGTTGCTGGTTTTTGATTTTTTATATTTTATTTTCATAGAAAACAGATATGCAGGCGTAGTTCTCGGTAACTCGGCAAGATCCAGTTAGACAACCTTGTGTGTGACAGTGTCAAAGGCATGAGCAAGGGAATCCGTATCTGGAGCGAGCGGAACCACAGCAAAAACAAAAACAACAGCAAAGCGCAGAGGGCAAGAGTGGGCGAAGAATGTAGCTAACACCACGGCTACTTTCTCGAAAATTCTCGTAGCGTCGGAAGTGTATCAGCTAGAAAGTAATTAAGCCAAAGTCAACGGAGCTGGCGCTGGAATGGCAACCGGCATGGAGCTATACTGCTGGGGGAGCACCACCCATGGACAACTGGGCCTCGGCGGCATCGAGGATGAGCAGGTAAATGGTTATCTATTAGAGTTGACAGGCTCTGGCTACTAAGTTACTTACTCCATTCCAACGACAGATCCTCACGCCTACCCAAATACCCTGGCAGCCGGACTCTGCCGTGCAGCAGGTGGCCTGTGGACACCGGCACACCCTCTTTCTGACTGCCAACGGCAAGGTGTACGCCTGCGGCAGCAATGACCACTCCCAGCTGGGTCACGACCTGCCCACCAAAAGGCCACGTATGTCGCCATTTCGTATGTACATAATCTTCATGTATCGTCTTGACTTTCCTTTCACTACTATCTCCACCTCATCGTCACCGCCACCACCAACACGGCTGTAACCGAGTCCCACTTACTTATCTCTGCGGACTCTTTGCAGTGCTTATCCCGGAGCTGCAGGACTATGTGATTATCCAGATTGCCTGCGGCAGCCGCCACTCATTAGCCTTGTCCGAATGGGGCCAGGTGCTGAGTTGGGGCGACAACGATTGCGGCCAGCTGGGGCATGCCACCGATCAGGAGATCGTCCAACTGCCAAAAATCGTGCGCCAGCTGGTGGCCAAGACAGTGGTGCAGATTGCCTGCGGCAACAATCACAGCCTGGCGCTGACGAGCTGTAAGTGCTAAGTATTACACAAGTATTACAGGATGAGCGCCTAGGCGGTCTTTTTACTGGAAAAGCTCCTACAATTTTTATCAATACTTTGGACTTTTCCTTTTGATAACCACCCCTGCCTTCCCTGCTTCTTTCAGGTGGCGAACTCTACTCGTGGGGCTCCAACATCTACGGCCAGCTGGGAGTCAACACCCCCAAGGAGCTGACGCACAGCAATCATCCCGTAAGACTGACCACGCTTCTGGGAATTCCGTTGGCTGCCATTGCCTGCGGTGGCAATCACTCGTTCCTCATCTCAAAGTCCAGTGCTGTGTTCGGCTGGGGCAGAAACAACTGCGGTCAGCTGGGCCTGAATGATGAGGAGAACCGCGCCTATCCCACCCAGCTGAAGACGCTGCGCACTCTGGGCGTACGGTTTGTGGCCTGCGGCGATGAGTTCTCAGTGTTTCTAACCAACGAGGGCGGTGTGTTCACCTGCGGAGCTGGTGCCTATGGCCAATTGGGGCATGGCTTTGGCTCGAACGAAATGCTGCCGAGAATGGTTATGGAGCTGATGGGAAGCACCATTACCCAGGTTGCCTGCGGCAATCGACACACGCTGGCACTGGTGCCGTCGCGCGGAAGAGTCTATAGCTTTGGATTGGGCAGCTCGGGGCAGCTGGGCACGAGGAGCACCAAGAGTTTGATGCTGCCGCAAGTAGTCATTGGTCCTTGGGTATCGCCTAGTGGATCGGCTTTGCTGCAATCCAGCGATGCCAAGGTCTCGGTGGTCATATATCAGGTCTTCTCCGGCGGGGATCAGTCCATTGTGACGACCACTTTGTATGTGGACAAAGTGCCGCCCGAGGATCAAAGGAACTACAAGTAAACACAAGTGACTTTCCTTAAGGAATTTCTGGAAATTTCCTCCTACTTTTTTCAGGGAAAAATCCCAGATTCTGTCCTTGACGGCGGAGGCCACCAAGCAGTGTGCTCGCTTCAAGCAGGACGATCAAAGCGACTTGGATCTGCTGAACACGATGGAGCTGATCTTCAAGAGCCAGGCCTGCCTGAATGCCTCCTTCCTGCTGGACCACGAAAGACACTTTGGCTGCTCCGTTCGCAACCATGGATTGGATCTCAAGGCGGCCCAACTGGCCTTCGATCATCTGCGCAATGTGGAGAATGAAGCCATCAAGCAGGTGGTGGGTATCACTCTCGACTTGATTTTCAATATTTCTTCTAAAGACTAGATCCGCTAGATCTGGGACAATGTGACCAAGGAGCTGATTGGTTCCATGGTGGCCTCGCCCGCAGATGTGGAGAGCATGCGTGTATACCTCCTCCTGCCGCTGTACCATGAATTTGTTAACTCCAAGCACTACAAGTCCCTGCAGGTGCCCTTCGCCAATGCCATATTCAAACTGACGGAGAATCCGCGCAAGGTGCTGATGAAGTGGCTGGCCCAAACGCCAACGGAGTACTTTGAGCATTTGGTACAAAACTTTCTGCATGTCGTAGTCCACATAATAAGCTTCAAAATGGGCCTGGCTGTGGTCAATCCCTCCGCCGAGAGACGTCAAAGGGTATTATGTTTGAATATATATCTTTGTGAAAGTGAATAATGTTTCCGTTCTGCAGCTGCTGCCCTACAGCTCCGAGCTGGAGGTGATCCTCAAGCTGATCTCAACGCTCTGCGCCATCAATAACCGACGCGATGATCGCCTCAACTATCAGGTCTTCTACTGGCCAGATCTCGGCGACTATGCTGACGTGCAGCAGGAGTATGTCAAGTGGATAATGGCCGACACTGCCGGCGAGTTCAATATCTGCAACTATTCATTCCTCTTTGATCCGGCGGCCAAAACGGCCCTGCTGCAAGCGGACCAGGCCCTCCAGATGCACTCGGCCATGGCCAATGCGGCCAATAATGTGGGTTAAGGGAAGGATAAGAATGAAACAGCCAGCTTATATACTCTCACTCTCCGCAGGCATTTTACAATCTGCTCAACTATGGCCTGCCAGTCTGCCAGTTCATAGTCCTAAACGTGACGCGTGAGAATCTGGTGCAGGATTCCCTACGAGAGTTGCAGCGCTACTCGCAAAGTGATCTCAAGAAGCCTCTGAAAATCAAGTTCCACGGCGAGGAGGCCGAGGATGCCGGTGGCGTGCGCAAGGAGTTCTTTATGCTGCTCCTGAAGGATCTCCTCGATCCCAAGTATGGCATGTTCAAGGAGTTTGAGGAGTCGCGTTTGCTTTGGTTCGCCGATCTCACCTTCGAGACGGAGAACATGTACTTCCTGATCGGCGTGCTCTGCGGTTTGGCCATCTACAACTTTACGATCATCAATCTGCCCTTCCCGCTGGCCCTGTTCAAGAAGCTGCTGGGAAAGCCAGTCGATCTCAGCGATCTCCGGCAGTTGTCGCCGCCGGAGGCCAACTCTATGCAGTCGCTGCTCGATTACAAGGGTGAGGATTTCAAGGAGGTCTTCGACCTCACCTTTGAGATATCGCGCGACGTGTTTGGCGAGTCGGAGACCAAGTGCCTTAAGCCGGACGGCAGCGACATAGCCGTAACGCTTGAAAATAGGTAAGGTTTTCTTTTAGATATAAAAAACAACTAAAACTAATTAAAAACCTCTATAAATTTTCTCTTCAGACAAGAGTTTGTGGACCTGTATGTGGACTTTGTGTTTAACAAGTCGGTAGAACTGCACTACAATGCCTTCCACAAGGGCTTCTTGAAGGTGTGCTCCGGTCGAGTGATAAACATTTTCCAGCCCGAGGAGCTTATGGCGGTGGTGGTTGGCAACGAGGAATATGACTGGCAGGCACTGGAGGACAACTGCGAGTACAAGGAGGGCTACAATTCGGGTGATGACACAGTGAGTCTCTGCCTTAAGAAGTTATATCAATGGCTTGATGTTTGTTTTTTTCTTATAGATCAAATGGTTTTGGGAGATTATTCATGATCTGTCCGAGGCGGAAAAGAAGAGTTTCCTACTCTATTTGACTGGCAGCGACCGTATTCCCATCCAAGGCATGAAGGCTCTCAAGGTGAGTTTTTCAATAACATCGGAAAGTACAAAGAAATCATATTCAGATGATTTCCAATGCAGCTCACCATTCAGCCCACATCCGATGAGCGCTTCCTGCCCGTCGCCCACACTTGCTTCAATCTGCTGGACCTTCCGCGCTACAAGACCAAGGAGCGCCTCAAGTTCAAGCTACTGCAAGCCATCCAGCAAACTCAGGGCTTCAGCCTGGTCTGAACACACACACACCTTTCAAGGCTTTCAAGTACAGGTACTTTTTCCACACTTATTTCTCGCATTTCTGGATTGAAGAAGAACAATATATGGAACACGGACATTTATCAGCGATCAAATCAAATAGTATAATGTTGTGTGTTATGGCTTTAAAAACCTATAGTAGTAAATATCACCTTGTTATGGAATTTAAGGTAAAAAAGAGGAAAGAAGAATAAAATTTGTGGATCAGTTTGAAGATAAAAAACAAGGGTTTTCTTAGATATTGGATTTTCAGAAGAATATAAAAGTAAATTTTTGTGGACAATTGAACATTGTTCTGGAAGAAATCTGCAAGGAAATCGGTAGAATTAAAAGAAAAAAACACCCATACTATTTTTTACAATTGTATAATTCTAATTTCTTACCAATTTTCTTAGATTTACAATAATTAAAAAAAACGATCGTAAAATCAAATTTGATAGCGATAACATCAAGCTCAACAGCCTTGATATATCGTTATCAGGTTATCGATAAATTTAAGACTTTCTTCGCAATAGAGTTGGCAGGCCCGTCACCAACAGCTGCTTGGCGAAATGTGGCGGCAAATCGAAGCCCGACGAAGTCATTTGAGTTTCAGCTTTTGCAAGGTGCGCGTTCGCGTGCGGAATAGCGCGTGTTTGAATTTTATTCTCGGGCGAGAACTTTTTTGGGCACTACCTCTCATTTGAATGCGTTGGGCGTGCGGGGTGTAAAATATTAAACGACAGGCACGAAAGACCCAAGAGAGTGTGTGAGTGAGTGTGTTTGTGCAGTGCAAGTGCTGTTGCCGCCTTGGCCTCGATTTTTCATTAAACAACAAAAAAAATAAACAAATAAAACACACACTCCCGACAAGTTCGCGGCTCGATCGTTTTTTGCCGCTGTCACCTGGAGCGCCGGGTCAAGCTAACGGTACCCGCATCGAAAAAGAAACTCAAACAGGTAGAAACAAATAACGAGGTGAAATTATGCGTACTTAGGAGGCCCGCTTACAAATATGCTGAGCTTGCTGTCCAATTTGTCAATCGGTTGTCCGAGCTTCTTAATCCGCCACAGTCCATGGCCCCGATGGCCTATAAAACCAATTACCACTACCGATCTTTGCATATCCTGACAGCTAACAAATGTTAAAAGCACCGGGGGAAGACACAACAAAAATGTATAAAAAATATTATAAGCGATATGCGGTGCAAAAACAACAAAAAAAGAAATAAATTCGAAAAAGCGGTTCTGCCGGTTTGCCTGTGGTCGTGATCTGCAGCGTCTTCCGCTGCTTTCTTTCCTTTGCACGATTTGAACTTGGACACCAAACGCAACAAAAGCTACAAAAGAAAAGTAAAAAAAAAAAAATAGCTACAAAAGCCCACACTGGGAAAAATATTTATATCAATTACCAAGACAGGAATTTAACTTCAATGAGCCGAAGTTTGTATATACTTGCATTATCAATTGGCTCATGGTAAAACGATTATTATTAAGCCCAAAATGTATTAATTTGAATTCGGAAAGTATTGCTATTTTATTATTTTAAGGCAAATAAATCCTTTTTTAAATAATTAATATACATTTTTAAATTATTTTACGTTAATCATAAATGAAAATACAACAACTTCTTTAAGCAAAGTTCTTGCATTTTCTCTCCGTGTAAGCAGCCACAAATCGAAGAGGAGATCTGGTTTACGGTGATGCTCCTCTAATAAAGCGAACGTTTAGGCACATCCATTCCGCTCTTTGCTTCCCTCTCTCTATCTTTCACTCTCTGGCTGTTCCGTTTGCTTCCTGCTTCCACGCCACACCATGGTTCCCATCAAGGATATGTGGCTGTGGTGGTTGGGGGTCACCTGCCCGTCTTCGTCGCTCCAACCCGCGCTAAGTCTGTTTGTCCAGGTTTTATAGCAGGAACAAATAGACACAGACAGAAACACACACAGCCAAAGAGGGTCAACACTGCGTATGGGGATGTGTGAGAGCGGGCTATGAGTAATCAGTATGCAGCGAGGAGGGATATATACATACAGAAATACAGATATATGACTCCCCTCCCCCGTTGACCAATTGAAATTGTATCAAATTTCGATTTCATTGACAAACTGTTGCGGCCCTCCATTAAATTGACCCAATTTTGAAAACTGTGGCCATAAGCTGCTTAAAAATAAGCAACTGCAATCGATCGACAAACCAAATGATTTGCCAAATCTGGCAGCTGTTTAAATACAAACAAATAACAATAACCGACGTTACACTTGGAGAAAATACTAAATAAAAATATGATTACAGTTAAAGGTAATATGAAATATGGAAATAAGGAAAGGATCGGCTCAAATTCACGAAAAATATGTATATTTCTAGTAAAACTTTGTTCTTAAGATTCCGTGATATATTAAAAACACTATTTATATTTTTTAATTACTCATGGGGACAACTGTTTTATAATCTTTATTATTTTCCTGACAAACTCCAGGTCTTTTATATTCTTAGTTGATTTTCAACATTTCTTTGTTAACAAGAATTAAAACCGCAAACAAGTTCTCCCAGTTATGATTCATACAGTTTAGGACTTCTTTTTCAAGTGCACACAGCACTGGCCTCAATGTCATTGCCTCACACTTGGCACCCAAATGAAACGAGTTGGAAAACCATGTCGGGGGGAGAAGACACAGACACAGAAGATTATTTTGGTAATGATGTAATGCCAAGTTTTTTGCCAACTAACTGGCCAAACAAAAAGACAAAAGAGTCAAAGAACCTAGAGAAGGAAATAAAATTGCACGCCTTTTGGTTCGGTTAATTGCGATACATATTTATTATCGCCGCAGCCTTGTCAGGTGGCTCTACAAAATTTAACATTTAACCAAATCTTACGCTAGCTACATATGTAGTATCCATACCCACAACCAACCGAAAAAAAAGGTCTAAAGCTTCGATGACAAACTTGAACTTTCCCTTATCGGTTTCGGTCGGTATCGCGCGTTATCTCTTTCCCGGGGTTGAACCAATTTCACTGATATAACAATTGATCATGTACACATACAGGGTGTAGTATCTCTTTCGGGCCCCATTGCATTTTATGGCTTTCGTTTATTTCCCTTTAAAAAGAGCTGATTTGATAAGATACTAAAAAGTAGAGGGGAAATGCCAAGACCCCGAGCGATAAACGTCCATATAACCATTGAAGCACTGAGTTTTCCAAGAAAGATTTGCACAAGCAGTGAATGGGGATTGAGTTAACTCTATGAATGCCCTATTTTTATGAATGGAAAGATCATTGATAAAAGATCTTAATGGAATCAGTTACTTCCTGATAAACTTGTTTATTTTATGATATTATTTAATTATTATTTAATATTTAAGATCTGGAACGTATTAAGCTAAAAACTCCTTCATCTTTCAGTAAACGAAACATTATTATGTTTGATATATAAACAAAATAGGAACTCCACTTCAAAATGCAAATCACTTTGAGAGACATTGCCACACTCAATCCGAAACCAAACTCGCTGTAACCTATTCCCTCTTAGACATTACTGATCCACCCTCATAAAAATAATTATCGGAGCCATTCATGGCCATATGCCCCACTCGAATGGAGGTACCTAAGTGAGCACATAATACACACAAAGCAAAAGTCGCCCCACTTGTCATAAAACCACGATTGACGAGCCCCAAGAGCCCGGCAGTCTTTCTTTTCCATTTCCACATTGCCAGAACGGCGATGGAGGAGTGAGTGTCGTTGTCAGCTCGTGTTGGGATCACAATTACAGCGAATCGGATTTTTGGAAAAAGTGTCAAATTAGCAGAAAACCTTTAAAAATTATTGGTGTGTGCAAGCAAAAAGTCTGGTTTGAAGATATTTAAATAAAAAGGTAAAAGAAAACAGAACAACGAAACGAAACCTTTTTTTCAGCAGATTTTTTTGCTGTAAATCGCGTTCAAGATCAACCGTCAGTTGACGTATTTTACGGCCTGCAATGGTGCTAAGAAAACAGCAAGGCGAGAATGCCTTTAGTGATTGTTTAATACTTAATGGTTATCCGAGGCTTTGGGTACTGGCTATGCGTCACAGATGCCGGCAAGATCTCCACGGGGCCTCGTCCCCAAAAATGTGCGGGTGACTCAGCGCAGCGGCGAGTCCAGATTTGTGGGTTTCGCTCAACTCAAGCGAACATTGCAAACTTTGAATTTTAATTTACCAGAAAAACAGAGAGGGTGAGAGAGAAATGTGACGATGACTTAACGATCGTTTGAAGTTCAGGCTGTGAACGAATTCGATCATCGCTTCTTTCGGTCAGCGGCCTCTTGGTAATAAGTATGCTCTCTGCCAAACCTAATGATCCATTCATGAGGCGTGATTCTTATAAGCTTTGTGTTTCGAATATTCTCAGGCCTTAAGCTGGGTTCGATTACACGGCAAGATATTTGTTACTTTCTAGGGATATGCTTGTATACCATCGTTTGTATAACTGAATTTAAAATCGATCCAATTTAATTCTTCGAGATTTTTAAAACTTCCATAACTTCCACATAATTAGTTTTCACTTTATTTAGTTTTGTTCAATCTATCAAATTATAGTTAAACATCCTAAACCCTAGCCATTTGGAGCAGATGATACAGTGGCACAATGTTGGCATTATTCCTACCCTCAAGGAAGTTCTGGGAGAGCACGGCCCGGCCCTGGAAGACGCCTGGAATGGGCGAGGGCGTTAGGCCATCGGGTCCGGGTACCTGGGTATCCCCATCGCCGCCAGCCGAGGAGCGATAGAAGGGATAGAACGGATAGCCGGGATAGCCGCCGAAGCCAGGATAGCCCCCATAGCCAGGATAGCCATATCCACCGAAGCCGCCGTAGTAGTTGTAGCCATTGTAGTAGGGATTGTAAAATGGAGGAGGCTGTGGTCCTGGCACTGGCGATGGTGGAGGCGGCGGTCCCCACGGCCGTTGTGGTGGCGGCGGGTAAATGGGCGGAGTGGGCGACCATGGCGGCGGCGGACCATAACCGTACTGGCGCGGATGCTGCTGATCCTCTGGTGGATAATAGTAATGATGTTGATGTACTGACGGTTTCGGGGTGGTCGTCGAGGCGCCGGTTGCCATCACCAGCTTGATGCCGCCCTTACCAATGGTCTTCAAAAGGTGCTCGTCGATTCCCCGACCACTTCCCAGCGTATCGTCCAGCACCTGTTGCTGCTTATCGTTCCTGGCCTGGCCGGTCACCAGGCTGGTCTGCACCGGGGTCTTATCCTGGAAGCCCCAGGCGTGGCCCACCAGCTGCAGCAGGAGCACTGCAGAAAAGGAGAACGAGTTAATTGGGATTCCTTAGAGAAGATTTTTGAAATTCCAATACTCACCCAGACAAATCGCAGTCACTCTTCGATCCATGATCGCCAAGATGGTAATAACCTGACCATTGCATCTGCATTCCCTTTTTATAGTCAGTCGATGCATCTCCAGTTCCCGGGGCATCGTTTAATGCCCGGTTTTCTCATTAGAATAGTGGCCCAAATTTGGACTGGCTTTCTTTTCTTCATCGCTCCGATCATTAGAGCTCGCTCTCGATCTCGGATCGATCAAGGCACCGTTCTAATAACTACGTTCATTAATTTGCATACGATCCAAAGGGGCTTTGTGGGATCTTCCCACTTCTTAAGCCATTCTAGATTCTCCGTCGTTTGATTCTCGATCTTTTTGAGTTCTTTAATCGTTCGGCCAGCAGTGCATAAGCTTAACGCACATTGAAGAGTTCAATATCTCCCGCGTTATAGCTACTTGATATATGACGTCATTTGTATGCAGATCATAAAATCGTATTACACTGAAGGAAAATTCTACTTTGAAGGCTTCAATATGTTTTATTTAGCCTTTTAACATTTACTTAATTATTTACACTAGCCTTAGAAAATTCATTATAAGATAGCCCGTTTTTATTTTCTCCAGCAATTTTAATGTTTATTATTTTATCTCTCAATTTTGTTCAGTGTTAAAATAAAAAAGTTAAGAACTTATCCGTGTTTGGGGTGGGACAAACATTTTTGGGTTCCGTTATGGGTCGTGTGTCGTAGACATGTTTACGAGTTGTCCGATTCCACTAAGAGCAGGAGTTCTTCTCTCTTATGTTACATCATGATTGTGGAGCAGAGAAACCAGTTCTCCGATCAATTACAAAAGCTGAATGGCGACAAAAGAATGCGTGGATCAAAAGTCGACAAGAAGGCGATTCCCTCAGGGAAAGGAAAAAACCACATGGGAAAAGTTTAATGACTTTTGATAACCCTCTTAGGAGGAATATAAAATTTTTTTTTAATTTTATTCCTAAGGGAAATGCTTACATTCCTTGGTTTATAAACAGCAAAAGATTGTGATTGCTTTCAAGGTTTTTTTTTCTCGATTTCTATTTGCTCAGCGTATATGAAAAGGAATCTAACTAAATTTAATATAACATAATATTTATGAACAACTATTAACCTAAACAAATTATTAATTGCTTCTAAAGTTTTTTCTGTATATTCTTTATTGAGGAAATTATAAAAAATCACACAGCTATGTATTAGTCATTAAATAATAATTAAATCACTTAATTATAAATTTATTATTTACCCATCTATTTATATTTATGATGTCCCCCACATTATTAAGGTATTAATTTTTATCAATAACCTGTAATGAGTTTATCTAATCACATTAATGTATGTGGGGCTAGGACATATAATTAAATTTGTTGTGTAGAAATAACTCCGTTATCAATGCGTGCCAAAAGTCGTCTACTAACTGTCTATATAAGTTCTAGAGGATGGGGTATCTGGCGGTTGAGAACCCTAACGATTTTTACCTTCTAATATATATGATGTGTAGCATAATCTCAGGCGTCCGTAAATTAACTTAAGGTGCGGAAATTAAATGGAAAGTCAAGTCTGACTCCCATTATTGTATACTCTTCCATAAATGGTTCTCGCAGACATGTTTCGCTATCCACAACAATCTCCGTCCTACGTGCAATTAACCAATTATGTGACAAACACCGACTTGCCACAGAGCTGCTACGTGTCCGTCGATCTCTTCGAGCTTCAAGAATTCCTGCAACAACAAGACCTTTAGTCTTGAATTACCGGCAAACATTTTGCAATTAGTCCAGGGCCTTGTCTCGATGGGATCTCTCTGCCTTCTGCTCCATTGATCACCTATCGTTGGGGAACAAAACAAAAGTGACATCAATTGATACCGAGGGTGTGAGTGAGTGTGTGTACGAACTACTTACTTACAATGTTTGCCTTCGGCAATGACTTATTTAGCGTACTGATAGCTGATAACACGGCGCTAATGGGAGAGCGATCGGAGTAGGGGTCCGCCTCAGAGTCTGGATTCGCAATTGAAACGAGAATTCTGATTCAACGAATCCACTTTTATGAGGCAGTCAGCGAACGATCTCTAAGTCGCTAAGTTCGCAAAAAAAAAGAACAGAAAAAATATCCTTAAAACCGGTTTTAAAACCGCGTATTATTTATTTTTTAAACATATTAAAAACGTATTAAAGCGGGCAAAGGTTTTATATTGGAATCTTTGTATTTTTTGAAACAATAGTATTTGATCTGTGATCATAAAAAAGTTGGAGAAACAATATTTAAAAACTGAAATATGGATATCAGTGACGAGTGAGCAAATTCTATTTTAAAATAAATACAAATAAATACAATTTAATAATGTTCTGGGTGATTCTTTTCGAATTTCTTTGATTTTAATAAATAAATAAAAACAAGAAACTAATTTTGGGAAGCAGTTTGCCATAGGATCATGGAATCAAATCAAAAATCGATCATAACTTAGCCAAAAATATATTAATTTCAGTTCGGAAAGCGGCTCTGTGTTATTTTTTATTAGTTTATAAAAGCTGCATACTTTATTTTAAATTTTAGGAAATCGAAATTTTTATCGATTTTTCAAAATTTTAACGATGTAACCCCTTATAAAATTTTCAAAAAATTGAAAAAAAAATTTTTCTTGCGGACATGGCTAGAAAGATTCGCCTGTTGATGCTGATCAAGAATATATATACTTTTTGAGGTCGGAAATGACTCCTTCATTTCTGTTTTAACTTTTAACTAAAATTATATACCATAGAAGGGTGTAAAAACCTTTTTGCCTGTTAGAGCCTGATGGTTAAAGATCTTATCAAAAACGAAGAGCAGATATAGTAAATAATACTTTTAATGTTTGCATTATTGTATCAATTTCTCTTAATCCTTAAGAGATTACTGCCTAACTTCCAAGCAAATTATTAAACTACTTCCTCCTGCAATGTGCTATAATATGAGTCATTTATGCAAATATGCATTCCTTTTATTTCTCCCCATATTTCCCCAACATTATTTTATCTAAAAATAACCTTTTTAATTACTGCTAAAGTCTCTGAATCATAATCTTCCCTCCCAGTCCATAAAAACCCAAGATGAGAACGTATAACTTAAGGATTGACTCATATAAATCAAATAAATGAACTCAGATACTGGATTCCGCTCCGGAATTCCTTTGCCTTTGGGATATTGTCATGGTTCATACCAAAACCCGAGTCCCGCATTTAGTTTTGCGAAAGCAGAAAGGCTTTATCTAATCGGAGGACTGATTGGCAGCGGCCCATTGCTCTTCTCCGTATAGCTAGAGTTATATTATCGTTGATAAAAAAGGCGAAAAAAAAAAAATGCTACGAGGCCAATTGATATGTAGAACGGAGAAGTATTGATGGTTAAAACACCTCAACTGCCAGCGGATCGCGTTAGTTTGCCATCAGAACCGTCAACGGGCGGAATATGTGCGAATTCTGACATCTCTGCCGGAGATAGAGAGAGATTAGAAAGTGTGAAACGCTCAGAGAGATCAGGAGGGATTCCCAGTGAAGATCATCGTAATCAAAGCAAAGGAGACAATCGAATAACCATGACCAGGTAGAGGCTCCAAGGAGAACGTGATCTAGTCACCTGATTAATTAGATTAATACATATATCAAAGTGCAAACCCACACACACACTTCTTGAGACGGCTTATAGTATTACTTGAACCACAAAATCCATTGCGTAATCGGGCTCTTTATGGATTTACCCCGCCCCATATCAGTAAAAGCTATAAAGTCAGTCCCCTCTGCTCCGACTCCTAATGAAATATGGCATTGATAAGGTGGTGAATTGCACCTGCCCACCATTATTTCTAGACTTCTATAAATACCAAGAGTTTGAGATTGGATTGGATTGTGATAAAAACAATATTGGATATTGTCTCATAGCATGAAGTCATTGCAATGCATTTAAACTTTAGTTGTTATTTGTGGACTGAAGCTTTCATTTCCGCCGCCTTGTTTCTTTATAAATTCCCAAGCCTATACTTTACGTAAATCTTATCAAAATGGAATGGGTATTTGTGTTCTCAAGAGGTTTCTTGTCCTCTAATCAAGACAGCGGGCTAAAACATGGCAACCCTTTTTGCTTAGTTGTAAGATTAGGTACGTGAAAGATAAGGGTTATGGGATTGGAGAGGTGGGGCGAAGGAGTTTCCCAGGAAGTGGGGAAAATTACAGGGAAATCGCAGAGATTGAAATCACCCAAGTACATTCTTTGTAAATCTTGGAATATTTTTTCATTTTAGCTCTACAACTTTGCCCAACATGGAGACGGGTTTGCATGAACGCGATCGTGCCGGCGTCCAGGACTTTGTGCTGCTGGAGAACTACCAGAGCGAGGATGCCTTCATTGAGAACTTGAAGAAACGCTTCCAGGAGAATCTGATCTATGTAAGTTTAACTTTAATGTAACTATCTTTATTGTTAGCTTTGTAATACATATTTTAACCTTTGCTTTTGACAGACGTACATTGGTCAGGTGCTAATCTCGGTGAATCCCTACAAGCAGCTGTCCATCTACTCCGATGCCCACATCAAGGAGTACAAGAACAAACACTTTTACGAGATGCCTCCACATGTGTAAGTGTCATTCCTCTACTTAATAATATTTAATTCAACATAATTTCTCTCCTTAAGTATTAATAATATAATTTTCCCCAAAATCCCCTTTCCTTTAATTTTAAAAAATTCCCCTCTAGCTTCGCTGTGACGGATAATGCCTTCCGTTCGCTGATCGAGGAGAACCGTGGCCAGTGCGTGCTCATCTCGGGCGAGAGTGGTTCCGGCAAGACCGAGGCCTCCAAGAAGGTGCTGCAGTTCATTGCCGCCTGCTCGGGCAATCAGACCACCGTCGAGGGTGTCAAGGATAAGCTGCTGAAGAGCAATCCCGTCCTGGAGGCCTTTGGCAATGCCAAGACCAACCGCAACGACAACTCCTCTCGCTTCGGCAAGTACATGGACATCCAGTTCGACTTCAAGGGAGCACCCATCGGGGGTAATATCCTTAATTACCTCCTGGAAAAGTCCCGTGTGGTAGCCCAAATGGCTGGAG